GGGCTGAGTCTGAGCGTTTTCAGGGTTAACTGGGAAGTGTTTGGAGTTTGTTTCAGCCCCTGTGGGTAACACGTTCCAAACCCCAGGGTTGTCTGTAGGAATCAGAGCGTGAAGCTCAAACCCAGTGGGTTTTCTCCACAGCGGAGGCTGTAGGTTTCAGTCTTTGGGGCTTGGACAGTAGACCCAGCAGGGTTCCTTGTTCATTGCAAGTGTTTGGGTTGAGAGTAGATGGGACAGATGGCCCCTCTTATCTCAGTCCTTGTCCCCGAAGTCGGTTGGTTGCTCTCGGGGACAGCCAGTTTCCTGACCAGGGTGGGGAACAGGGATGACGGGTGCTGTTAACCTTTGAGATGTCTGAGGTGGGGGGAGGACTGGATGAGGCAACCTATGGTGGCGCCTGAGTCCCGAGGAGGGAGGACCCTGGACCTGTGGCCGGCGAGGCGTGGCCGTGTTTGCGTTCCAGGGTTGCTGGGTTTAACTTGTGTGTCTCCCTGTGTGCCCTTTGCTTGCCCTTAGCCATCTGCATGAAAGCAGCTGTTTTCTGCCCAGTCTCCCTCTGCTGGGCCGCTGGGGAGGGGGCACACAGGCCTTGACCCACTGTGGGATTTTTGGCAGAGACGTCTCTATTTTTTTTTAAAGATTTTATTTGAGAGAACACGAAGGGGAGAGGGAGAGACAGACTACCCGCTGAGCCTGATGTAGGACTCGATCCCAGAACGCTGGGATCTCATGAGCTGAGCCCAAGGCAGATGCTTCACCAGCTGAGCCATCCAGGTGCCTCGAGACATACTCTTTATAAGAGCCTTGCAGAGAGGAGAGTGGGTTAGATCCCTCCTAGCCCACCTTCTACTCCTGTCCTCTGTGCCCCAGCAGTTGGGCACGGGTAACACAGTGGGCCCCACTGCTGTGGCTCAGTCTGTACTGGCCTGGTTCAGCCTGTGTTCCTGTCTGGAAAGGCCAGAATCTCGGGGACCCCTCTTTCCCCAGCAGCACTCCTTTGTATGGTGTAGCCGGGCACCCATGGCCTCCTGTCCGTGCCCTGTCCTCAGAGCACCACGGGGTGTTTTGGAACAGTCCTACCTCTCTGGCCCTCATGGTCCACTTCATAAGCAAGAGACCAGAAATGGTACCATTGAGGCATTGAGCTTGGTCTGTCCTCTCTCTCTCCATTTCTCTTCATGTCCTCACACCTTCAGACAAAAATGGAAAATTCTGGGGTCTGGTCACCCACTGCCTTTGAGAACCCTGGGCGTGCGAGTCATTCAGGAGTCTCCGGTCTTCTAGAAGGGTCAGGACTGTTCATTCATGACCCAGGGTAATTAAATAACTCTTTGTAAAGAGGCAGGGAGCTTCTTGTTAAGTGGTCTTCCCTAATGCAAGTGCAAACACAAGCAAAATCCTTTCCTTTCTCAACAGCTCCCCCCTTCCTTTTAAAGGGTAGGTTTTTATGCTTTAAGGGAAATGAGGAAGGGGAGGGGGAGAACAACCTTAAAGGAATTTTAGGCGGATTCAGCATTTTTCTGGGGTTGCTCCAGAAATTCCCTAAACTGTAATAAAAAGAAAAAATTGTGAGCAGGCATCTGATTAGTTGGCTTTTTACAACACAGCTTTTCTTTTGGATGCTTTAAAATGCACAAATACAGTTTTAAAACAAGCCCCTGTATAGTTTTCGGGAGGAGGCAGAGAAGTTGCTGAAAATACCGGAAAAGGTTGTAAAGCTAAGGGAAGTTAACAAGGGCCTGTGAGTCTTGCCTTTGGAGGATAAGTATCAGCATCCATGAGGAAAAGTCAAAGGCAGGCTTCTGAGGTTCTTCCTTAGTTCTTGGAATGAGGGACGCTTTTCTGTGTGAGAAAGCCTCCCCGCTTCTCCCCCTGAGGCCCGGGGAGCCCCTCTAGGAGCTAAACCTTTTGACCTTTGTGGGGAGATGGTTGTGGGCTGTGGCCCAGTTCAGGGAACTGTGCTTCTCTGAAGATGATGCTGAGTGTTTCCCAGAAATGAGCCCAAAATGGTGGGGAATTTGGGGCACATCTCTGAGTTGGCAATGTAGGATGTTGTCCCAGGCCCCCAGAAGTGTGATGTGTTAAAGAGGCCTTTGCTGGTGGGATGGTCTTGCTGGAAGGCATGGGTTTCTGTGTTCGGAGATAGCCCAGGAGCAGTGAGGAGAGGAGGTAGCTGGCTGCTGGGAGGCTGGGGTGGCCGTGGGGCAGGCTTGGAGGGGCAGGGCTGGGAAGGAGCTGGCAAGGGTCCTAGGGTGGCTTAGGGCACCTAGTGGGCTTCCCAGGGTTTTGTTCGTGCACAGGGACATCTATCACTGCTGGTGATCTGGGGTTGGCCATTAACCTCAACAGAAAAAAGTTTTTTTCCAGGGATGTCTGGTGGCAAATTGTTGGGTGGACCGGCGGGCTATGCAGATGAAAGAGAAATGTGCCAGAACTCTTCCCCCTCTCCCTCTCCCTCCCCTTCCCCCTTCCCCTAGGGCTCTGGGCCACTCCAACCTCAGCTCCCCCCCCCCACCCCCGCAGCTTCCCCTGCCCCCAGAGGCTGCTGGGCAGCCGGTGGGGGGCCCCCCACCCCTTTCTGGTGGGCCTGGCACAGGCAACTTGATCCAGGCCCCCACCCCACACAACCCTACCCTGCACCTCCTACCCCTCCTCTTCTTCCCAGCTAGCTGGTGCCAGGTTTCAGGAGGGCTGAGCTCCATGAAACAAAGTATCTTGAGGCTCCACCCAGGGTCTCTGAACCTCCCTCCCAGCGACTCCCCCCTCACCCCCGCCCATCTCCCCATCTTCTTTCCAGACCAGGTTTGTTGCTCCGAGTGGGGATAATAAGCATAGCTGGGGATAATAAGCATAAGCGAGAGTTTCTTACATTTCAAAACACCCTCCTCCCTAAAACAGCAGGGCGGTCGTGCCTTCCTCCCCAGCAAACTTGCACGCCAGAGAACTCTTACACAGATCTCACGGGTTTTTGGTACAGGCCCCTGAGCCCAGCTCCCTCGACAAGAAAGTTCAAAGATTGCCAGCACTCGGGAGTTTATTAGCAGTTGATGGATACTCTGCAGAAACAAGTTAATGCCTGATGAGTCACCTCTGCTTGGAGCCCTTGTCCCTCTCTTGTTTTTCCATATGTTCCAGAGTGTACGCACGCAAACACTCACATGCTCGCTCACACTCACGGACTTACAGCCTCTCTCACACTGAGGCTTCATAGAACCACGGGTTGGGGGTGACAGGCCAGTTTTCTGGGGTTGATTTTTGGAGGGGTTACTGAGAGAGAGCAGGGAGCTCTCAGCTTCCCCATTTTGTCTGGCTGGCTGGGTGGGCGTTCGGGAAGGCCAGTTTGGGCGGGGAAAGGTGTCTGTAGGAGACGTGGCCACTCAGGGTGAGGGTGTGTGTGGCCGCCTCCGTGGGTCACAGTGCACGTTGTACAGACTTACAGAACACCTCCATGCGAGACTGGCTACTGCTTAAAAAAAAAAAAAAGAAAGAAAAAAGTTAATGGAGCTGACTGGTTCCCAGGTCCTAACATGCCTGTAAAGGTTGGAAGCAATTGTGTGCAGAGCTGCCCTGGGTTTTACCCAGCCTGCTGGGGCAGCAGGACACAGGTCCCTGAGCCCTCGTCCACCCCCAGCTGCCGTGCTCTATCGGCCTCGGCCATCCCACAGCCAGCCCCCACCTTCAGGCCCTGAACCCCCAGTGAGTGAGAAGCGGGACTGCAGGGGAAGGCAGGAGGCCTCTGCCTTTCCCCATTTTTGTTAACAAATACAAGACTTCCGGTCTCCGCCCTGCTGCCGCAGACCACAGCGTTCCTGCAGCCTGGCCTGGCTGGGGAGATTTATGGTTCCCAGTCTGAGGCCTGCCCCGTTGGCTCCAGCTTAAGGAGGAGTTGGAATGCCAGCCGCTGGGGCCTCCCTTTCCCTCCACAGGATTCCCCCCCCAACTCCTTTAAAGAGCTCTGGGTGTCTGTTTGAGAAAGTCACCTTACCAGAATCACCCCAGTCTTCTGGCTGCCTGTGGGAAGAACCAAGTTTAGGGAAGCTGGGGAGGGGGGACCTGGACGGGGGACCTGGACGGGGGCGGGGGGGGGGGTGGGCAGGGCAAGGTGTCTCCATGCTTCTGAGGAGGGAGTGGGGAGAGGGGGGTACAACAGGCAGAGGAAGGGCACTGGAGGGAAGGTCAGCCCATCCCAGACACATAATCTTCTGTCTGGGCTGGAGGAAGCTTCCTCAAGGTAGTCTGGGTTAACACCAATCCGTGTGTTATGATTTGGCATTCTGACTGAATTCGCCCTTTGTGTACAGAGCTGCTGCTGACAGACACACTGAGAGCGCAGTTCTTTCTGCGAGGAAGATAGATGTTTGTGCCTCAAACCACCTGCACTTTCATTTTATCAGATGGTGCTCCTTTATGACCGAGGTGCTGATCTGAGAAGTTGGTGACAAACACAGACACTGCCTAGTGGGGGGACCCTGGAGTCTGGAGACTTGGGTTCTGGGTCTGGCTGTGTCATCTGTGAGGCCCGAACAATAGGCCTTCTGGGTCCTGATTTTCTCCTGAGGAGGACCAGGGGCTCTTAGAGCCATAAGCTTTTCAGGTCCCATTGAATTTAAAGGGCTGTAACTCTAGGCCATCTGGAAGGCCTTTTCTTGCCCCCAAACTGGGACCAGTGGAGTTCCTTAGGGTTCCCTGGCTTCTGAGCTCTGCAGGGAAATGGCTTCCTTTGGCCCCACAGGCAAACACGCTGGTGTCCTGGGTCCCTGACCTGATTGTGGGGGTGGGATGGGGTGTAGGGAGAGGGACAAGGTGCCCCAGGGAGCCCCATGTTGAAAGGCGGGTTCTTCCATCCCTCGCCCCCATACGAGGACTCCAGAGCTGGCCGCATACATACCCAGCACCACCACCATTCCTGACGAGAGCTGAGGTGGTCTTGGCTGTCGTGAAGGAAGAGGGAACCGTCAGCCCCCATCACCACCAACCATGTCCGCCATCTTGTTTTGCAGATTCCCAACTTCTTCTGGAGCCTGGGGATCGGTCACACTGGTGCGTGGTGGCATACTGGGAGGAGAAGACGAGAGTGGGGAGGCTCTACTGTGTCCAGGAGCCCTCCCTGGATATCTTCTATGATCTACCTCAGGGGAATGGCTTTTGCCTTGGACAGCTTAATTCGGACAACAAGAGTCAGCTGGTGCAGAAGGTGCGGAGCAAGATCGGCTGCGGCATCCAGCTCACGCGGGAGGTGGACGGCGTGTGGGTGTACAACCGCAGCAGTTACCCCATCTTCATCAAGTCAGCCACACTGGACAACCCGGACTCCAGGACGCTGCTGGTACACAAGGTGTTCCCCGGTTTCTCCATCAAGGCTTTCGACTATGAGAAGGCGTACAGCCTGCGGCGGCCCAACGACCACGAGTTCATGCAGCAGCCGTGGACCGGCTTCACCGTGCAGATCAGCTTTGTGAAGGGCTGGGGCCAGTGCTACACCCGCCAGTTCATCAGCAGCTGCCCGTGCTGGCTGGAGGTCATCTTCAACAGCCGGTAGCCGCGCGGGCCGGGGACGCAGCGGGCGCCGCGCGGGCCCAGGCCAAACGACGTTGCTGCTAATACTTTCCTCCCGAGTGCTTGCTTTTCATGCAGACTCTTTGGTCCGTCGCGTGTCGTCGTCGTCCCCACCCCCGCCCCGCTTCTTGTCGTTCTTGTTTATTTTCTGTTTGTTTTGTTAACTTTGAGAAATAGCTTATGGAAAAAACGGTCAGGGTTTTTTTGCAGGGGGGACGGGGGTGGCGGGGTATGGCCAGCAGGACAGCCCAGGAGGAAGAAGGGAGGCAAGAATCCGTACCACCAGACGTAGTGTAAGAATGGGGAGCAGGCCCTCACGTGGGGGCCCTCGATTCCCTTGTCAGGGCGGACGCGTGGGCGAGTGCGTGTGCGTCTGTGGTTCGTACAGGTGTCCCTGCGGGGAGGTCTGTGCTCCCAGCTCTGTCTCTCCTGCCCTGTGGACATGCTCAGTGGGGCAGCGGCAGTGCCTGGGCAAGCTGGCAGCTGGGGTTCCAGCAGCTGCCAGGAGCCAGGCTCTGTCCCCCATCCCTGGAAAAGCCTCCCCCCACCCCCCACCCCTGTTGCTCCCCTTCTAGGACACGGCCCTGTCTGCAGGCTTCTTAGAAGCAACCCTGCAAAGAGGCTGAACCAGAACCAGTTGTTTTCATGCTTGTCTTCTGCCCTCCCCTCCCCCCCCCGCCCGCCACCCTGCTGTCCTTGTGTCTTTTTTGGTCATCTGTTCCTGGATATCTCGGAGATGGGCTGCCCGTGCAGTATTGCCCTCCCAGGGCCCCTCCCAAGCCCCTCAGCCTCTCCCTTGCCCTGGTCACATCAGGTCGTGTCCCCCGCCCCGCCCCACCCCACTACCCCAACTCAGAAAACCAGCTCAGCACTTTCCTCCCCTCTGCCGCCTATGTGTTGAGCTCTGCTGTTAGACCAGCAAGGGGAGCAGCCCTGGGAGGGAGACTTCTTGGCAACCCCCCTTCCACCAAGAAGGATTCGGTCCATCATAACCCAAGGTACCGCCCTGGGCTGACACCTAACTCTTCTTTCATTTCTTCTACAACTCATACACTCGTATGATACGTTGACACTGCTCTTAGCTCAATGAGCATGTTTAGACTTTAACATAAGCTATTTTTCTAACTACAAAGGTTTAAATGAACAAGAGAAGCATTCTCGTTGGAAATTTAGCATTGTAGTGCTTTGAGAGAGAAAGGACTCCTTGAAAAAAAAAAACCCTGAGATTTATTAAAGAAAAAAATGTATTTTATGTTATATATAAATATATTATTACTTGTAAATATAAAGACGTTTTATAAGCATCATTATTTATGTATTGTGCAATGTGTATAAACAAGAAAAATAAAGAAAAGATGCACTTTGCTTTAATATAAATGCGAATAACATGCCAAATTAAAAAAAGATAAACACGAGATTGGTGTTTTTTTCTATGGGTGTTATCACCTGGCTGAATGTTTTTCTAAAGGAGTTTATGTTCCATTAAACAATTTTTAAAACGTATACTTGATTCCATGTCCTCCAGCTCCTTTTTCTTCTGGCGGGAGGGGAGTAGGAGGGGACGTCCATCAGAATCCAGGACAGTGGGGTCATCTTGGCCCAGTGCTTGGCTGGCGAGGAGGGGGAGGTGGGCCACAAAAGGGACGTTCAGGACAGCCTGCTCAGCCACCATCTATTCCCGTAGCTGCAAAGACCCCTCTTTTTGTTAGTACCCAGTGACTCTAGGCCGTTACTGGCCTGGTGTCCCGAATTTGTCAACTTCAGGGATCCCTGAGTTACAAAGTTGGGGGGTAGTTTTTCAGCTCAAAACGATTGAGAGGCAATTTCATCTCGCTGATTGGGGAGGAGGTTGCACTGGGGGATGGGACGGGGAGGAACCTGGATCCCTCCGGTTTCTGGTTCTTACCCTTACTTGATGTCAGACCCTAAGCCCCACTGCACCTTTCCCAGAGGAAGGTCACTGTCAGTCTGGATTTCAAGACTGCTTCCCTGAGGGCTAAGGACCTAGAGGGAAGGTTGATGGAGGTTGAGTGTTGACGGTGGGCAGAGGGATCATGCCACCTCCTAGGTCTCTCCCAGGCTCTGTACCAGGCACTCTTGGAGTTGGCTGCAGGGAACCCAGTCAGGTCCTCTTCTGCGATCTCTCCCTCGTCCGCCAGAGCTCTTCCTGTGACCGTTTCCTCTGTCTGATGGCTCGCCACAGTTCCAGTGGCACTTGCTGCTGAATCACCTCCCTGGACCTGCCCCTACCCCTGGGGTTTCTGCTGTTGGATCTAAGCCAGCTGTTGGATTCAAGGCCTCGGACACAAGTGGTCTGTCCAAACTGGGCACCAGACAGGGTTGTGTAGGTGTCTAGATCTTGAACCTAAGATCTAGGGGATGGGGAGGTCTCTTTGGAGTGGGGGTTAAGATGTTGGGTATCATGGGCGCCTGGGTGGCTCAGTGGGTTAAGGGTCTGCCTTTGGCTCAGGTCATGATCTCAGGGTCCTGGGACGGAGCCCTGCACTGGGCTCTGTTCATCAGGGAGCCTGCTGCTCCCTCTGTTCCTCCCACTGCTTGTGCTCTCTTGGTCTCTCAAAGAAAATCTTTAAAAAAAAAAAAAATTTGGATACTGCGAACTGGTACAATTTCAAAAAACCTTTTTGGAGGGCCAAAGTAGGATTATCAATATTTTGCCAAATAACGACACAAAGCCCTACGGCCTATGGGCACTGCTGTCATTCAATAGAATTACTATACAGTTGTGTAGTGAGAAATACTAATGCATTCTCATTTATGCTTGAGCATGTCTGCCAAATGGTCCGGACTGGCTTGTTACACGTGAGGTGATGGGGAGCTTACTACCTATCAAAGCAGCTTTTTGCTTTTTATTGGTTGAAGTGAAACCGCCTCCATTCTAGTTCTGCAACCCAGAATAAGTGTAAAATCCCATTGTCTGGAAAACACCCAAGGAGGGTTTTAATTAACTCTGGGGTGGTAGTGGTTGAGGAGGGGTGGGGGTGGGAGGTGTTACTTTAGGGAGCAGGCAAAGCCATTTTCGTTTACTCTTGACTTGCATCGGCCTGCAGGAAGCACTTTAATAATAATAATAATTGCCACTTACTGGATGCGTAACCAGGTGCCAGGCATGATGCTAAACTAAGCATTTAAGGGAATTACTTAATCCCCACTAGGACCCCTCTGCAAAAATGTGGGTGTTGAGAAGTTAAAAGACTTGCCAAAGGTCACTTAGGGAGATTGGAGAACTCAGGATCTCACTCCAGGGTTGAGAGATCTTCGTCCTTGGTCCCTGTGGAGACCTCTATTTGATGGAATCCTGGTGGTGACAGCCCTGAAACTCAAGATCAGAAGAAGGTGGGCCACCACGATGCCCCCTGCCTGAACAGCAGGGCCTCTGATGCCGGAGGCAGAAAGCTGCCTTCTTGTGTTATCTGGACTCGACTAGCAGCCCTGGGAGGCTGGAGTTGGGGTGGGGGCAGATGGCCTCTGGAGGCATGGCTGGCTGCAATGCTTAGGGGAAGCCTGGGGGTTTGCTGGCCACCGTGGTCATCCCCTCCACCCAGTCCTCCCCTAAACGCCTTCCACATGCCAGGAGTACCAGGACTGCTGTGGGGGGCACCTTCCCTCAGGGGATTGCTGGAGGACAACACGCCCACCCAAGAGGGGAGTGAGGTCAGTATCCTGGACCACCTGGGCTTCCCAGAGGAGGCCGGGCTTCCAGAACAGCTGGGGTTTGGGCAGTGAAGGTGCCCCCCACATTGGAAGAAAGCTTTCCTGTTGCCTGATTCTTCTCCTTTGTCTTTCAGCTCACGCCTCACATTTTGGGGTGTCTTGCAGGGTTCTGCCCTCTCCCTGGGCAGCCCCATCCCTCTGGCCGTATTTCCCCTCACCTGTGGCTACCTCAGCCACAACCAGAAACCTGGGTTCTCTCATCTCCCTGGCCCTGGCTGCCCTGTGAAATAACCAAATCCTGCCCTTCCTGCCTTATCCGATCTGTGATTAGAAAATGCTATGTCTGGGATGCCTCGGTGGCTCAGTTGGGTGAGCAGCTGCCTTCAGCTCAGGTCCCAGGATTGAGTTCCACATCAGGCTCCCTGCTCAGCGGGGAGATTGCTTCTCTCTCTGCCTGCCACTTCCCCTGCTTGTGCTCTCTTTCTCTCTGACAAATAAGTAAAAATATTTTTTAAAAAAGGCAGAATCTGTCACCCACATTCTTTTTCAGGCTCCACGCGTATGATTCAGTTCAGGGCCTTGGGGTGCCTCCGTGGCCTGCCTTCCTCTCGTCCCACTGGCTGGCCTTTTAGCATCAGCCCCTGCAGACCTCACCTTTTAACCTCCCCCCGCCAGTCCCTTGGCCCCAGGAGACTCAAAAACACCTTGCTCCTGGCTTCCAAGCAAGTGCTTGCCAGCTTCTTCACTGGCCGTCTTTTCCTGCACTTTGAGGATGTAACTCAGGCCATACCTCCTCCAGAAAGCCTTCCGCCTTTTAAAAATGCCTGCCCTAAAGAGCCATCCCCAGTGTAGGATTCTTTTTCCTCTACTGAGCTCTTGGCACTCTGAAGCCTTGGTTGGGGCCCCACTTAGGACTCACTATCCTAACAGCTCCTGACCCAATGCTAGACAGGGCTTGCTGCATGAATGAGGCAGGGGCAGGCAAAACTCCGGACTTAGCTTGGGCTAGGAATAGTAAGAATAACAATCAGCACTGATCCTGTCCTATGTGCTAGGCAGTATCCCAAGCATTCCAAGCACATTAGAATGACCCCATATAATCCTTCCAACTGCCCTAAAAAAAAAAAAAAAAAAAAAAAGCCATTATTAGCCCCATTCTACAGATGAAGGAACTGAGGTTCAAAGAGTCGCCCAAACCCCCCGCCCCCCGCTGGTAAGTGGTAGTGTCAGACTTCACCAATTCTCTGCTATCTGATCTCTAGGGGCAGGCCTGGGTCATGGGGTGACTGCGTTGGGCATGTTTTTTGTAAAACAAGTTGTGGTTTGGAAGGACGGAACTGATCTGATCACCCTTGAGCCCAGCTCGCGCAGCCTCCCCCGCAGGTCACTCGGGTCCCACACTCCGCCTGCCGAGGGGCTTTCTGTCAGTGAGCTTGTTGGCAGAAAACAGCCGAAGCCCGGCTCCTGAATGAGTGAGCGTGGGGGCAGGTGGGATGGGCGTCTGACCCCAA